CCTAATGGCAGGCTGAGAGCTGCAGCTGAGGTGGGTTGTAAAGCCTCCTGACAAACCGTTACAACGTGCTCACCTTTCAATCAGGTCAGCCTCACGCCTATATGGATAAAAAGCATCGTTCATAAAATCAAAACTGACAAAAAATGACCCCCTGTACAGTGTGTGCCCATGAGGACAACAACTAATCAGACCTATACCAGGCTGCAGGATTTTGCTGCAGGCCTGTTTCGATGTAAACCAAGAACCTGACATGCTCAAATATTCAGTTAGCCCACTGGAATCAAATCACATCTCTTCTTTTTAATTGGAAGAGAAATACGTTTTTTTGCAGGCAATTACAAAAACACATTGATTGAAAATCAATGAAAAGTGAATATCTGTGTGACTACATGCATGTGCGAATAATTTTGATGGAAATATATGCATAACATGGATGCTGAATCTTTGCTCTTGACTTCAGCTGGTGCAGCTCACATGGTCTCAAACCATAAAATGATAAGTATTCCTGCTGGAAAGAAATTCAATACATGACTTCCTGGTGCCATTTGCCATTCCTGTGATTCCCTTCATGGTGAGTGTGGTGGGTATTTCCCCACAACGGCACAGCCCTCTCACCAACTGCCAATGCCTCTCACTCTCTGAAGATGGAGACATGCTTGGCGGACCCCCAGCTGTTTCACAAAAAAATGTGTTGCATGTGTCTGGCCTGGCGGCTGCATGCTTCCGTCTTGGCACATGATCTTATGGTAGAGTGTGGACCCTTAAGCGGCAGGATTCCCATGCAAGGTGGGGTCAGGAATCTGCGAACAGAGTCTTTTCTGCTGCCACATATTCAAGTCTCTGTACTCATGTCTGAACCGAGCCTTTCTTCTCAATGTCATAGCTATTCCGCTTTCATTAAGTGAAGGTCAGAGTATCAATAACCCGCATGTGCAATATTGTTAATCCCTTTGGATTAGGGCCAAGGATTCTTATGAGGCCATCAAAGTATAGCTGAGGGTTTCCAGCCAAGCCATGTCGGCAGTAACAGAGGACAGACTGACAGAACCACGCACAACCCACACGTTAAACCCGCTTTCCAGCACACTACCAGGATAGTAAATAATGACTACATGATGTCAAAACTTGATTTATATTTTGTTTGAGGTCTACGGGCAACATTTTTGTGTGTCACCCTGATGTTACTCATGGTCGCCTTCCCAAAATGCACAACATTTCACTGAAGCATCATTTGCACTAGTGCCTGCATCTCGGGCCTTTTGTCCCTCCTACTACATCACTGCCTAGTAAGGGAGCAGCTAAGGACAAAGAAAGGCTGTGAGAGTGATGACCCCTGGTGTTGGATGAGGTAAGTGCAATTTAGAGCATCTTTCCTTTGCAGTAAAGAATCGAGGCAAGGCGATTTTAATGCCTTCTTAACACTCATGGACCTTAAATGTATGATTTGCAAGAGCAAGAGATGATAATAGCATTCTATCCAGCAATAACCGGCTTTAGTTGCAGTTTCCCCTTCATTATCAAACGCTCATTATGTCAAAAGCAAGACAATAGCTCCCCCTGTAGTGCAACATTAACAGATACAAGCAGGTTGTCCTGTGCAAGATCCTCTTGAGAGGCACTGTTTCTATTGTGATGGTTAACTGTGAAATCTGTCCGACACTCCCCTTCGGCACAGATTCCCCATTAAAAGAGTCAGCGCTGCCTCACGGCGAAGCTTTCAGAGCCATGTAAACATGGGTAATCACTGAAGAAGTCTGCAACAGACCTGTCACTTTCAAGACTAGCATGCAATCAGTAAAACCATCGAATATTACATTTGTGACACTTGATAGACGTCTGCTATTGTGAGTGTTTTCTATAAACTGAAGTATATCATGCCTCTTTAGCAAGCGTTCATTGTACAGATGTGAGAATGTTGAGTCTGTTGTCGGTTTACTGTCATAAAACTCTATTATAAAGTCGGCAAGCCTTACACCTACAGCAAGACTTTGGTGCGACTTGACAGAAACTGACATTGACCAGGCTGCCGTGGATATGTTGGGAAGGTACCAACCTTTTCACCCAACATCCAAGCATCGGCCAGAGGACACTGACACATTGTTCCTCATTAACAAGGTTTGGGTAATGTGTTTTTCCAATGTTAATACAAACGTACATCTATGCACAGTTGTAGAGGAGAGATTGCTCTAACAATACAGCCTTTGATGCTGTACCTCCCATATAGCGTCTCTTGCTCCAAGAAAGAATCCCCGGGAGGGAACAAATGAGGAAGCACAATCAGAGATATGGAATGGTTTCTGCCAAGAAACAGGTCCAATTGATTTCCTCTTTGTCTTTGTCCCTCCTGTGCATTTTTGTGCTACATGGAGGGAAGAAAGAAGGCGAGAGAGCAGGAGAAAGTATTGGAGAAACAGAGAGGCCATCAGAGGTCATCCTCTGGGATTTCAAGCAAACCAAGGGGATTCTCTGCATACGCTTTGTGTCTTGAGCAAATCCATCTCCACAGGCTGAGATTCATCAGGGGGAACACCTGCTCTTCTCTCTACTGTAAACGTGTTCTGCCTGCATGCTCGCCTCTCTGTCATCATGACTGCAGCAACATCTGGAGGAGCAAGTTGATTCAAAATCAACGTCTGAACAGCGGCAAGCAGCCAAGTCAATAAAGATAAAAAAAAAACTCTGTGAATGTTGTCACATGCGGTCCCAAAATACAAGGCTACATTGTGGGCCACCTATTTCCAAGCAGCAAATATAGTCAGATAATGACCATGCAGCAATGCTACACACAGCAGTGAGCAGCATATTGCCCATTGGTCAATAAATACATAAAATGTCCTCAGGGTAACAACGCTCTTTTATTTTTTTTAAGCAGCGTCATAGTTCACAACTAAACTGTTTTTTCCCAGTATGAAGGCTGTGATTGAACACACTCCCTATAATGAAACAACAGTTTTACAAACCCATACATAAACACACACACACAGTCTGTCTCTGTTCTTTTTTTCAGAAAGAGCCCGGGGACACAATACAGGATCCCTCCATTGCAGCAGAGCTCCAAGATTGAGGCTGCACACTTGAGCAGGAGTGCGTACTGTAAACACAGGCGATTGGCTATGAGCCGTCATGTGACTGCAGACTGTAGTCCCCTGTGTTAGAAAACAGTAATTGAGGCTTCCATATGGTATAGATCAGATGTAGCCTTCACCACAGCATTCCTCCAGCACAGAGGCTACCCTGCTTATATCCACAATGAAAGCTGAGCTAATCAAACAACTATTGCCAAAAGACTCTACTATGTGTGCTCTCTGTTTCCTGTATCTCTCTTCAAGAAAGATAAGAAACAGTCTGCATCACAATTGTTTTATTGAAAACAAAGCTGCTTATATATAGCTTTAAGAGTCAAGTATGGATTATGATGAACGCGTGGCCCCTCGGTGCTGGCGGCGGATCGTCACTCAAAAACTCTCCCCGTTTTTGTCATGATATCCAAGGGAATAGCAGTGTTTATTGTAGGTTTGAAGCAGAGCAAAGCAACAGCTTTACATTTTCACACATCCAGTCAGGTCTGCACATTTAAAGAGCACAGTTGTAATAATCATACGGACAAAAACCTTCTGTGATGCTACCTGTGTATGCCATAATATCGTATCATCAGTCACTGTGCTTCTCTAAATGCACACTGAGGAGGAAATGTTGTGCAACCATTTGCTTTACAGTCAAACTCTGACAAAGTATAGACTGATATATTTGTGAATGTGAGCTATGATGCTCAATGCATTAATAGATAAAACTTGCAAAGCAGCAAGAAAATAATGAATTCATAATGGTCTGATTGAAAATCTAGCCAGACTGAACAGCATACATTACATCTGAAGAAAACTTAAAAATAACTAAACTTCATTGTCATGACAGTATCAATTCCTACTGCGTTTACTGGAGACAAGATCATTACTCAATCACTCTTTATAGTCTTAGAGAACATAATGCATAAAATGTTGACATAAAGCAGCTTACATACCTTTAATACCAACATGTGAAACAAAAGAGTGCCGTCCTGACAATCAGCCCAGGTACCCTACATTATCTGTAGGGTAATTTAGGTACGTGAAGGATGTACCTGGCTTTAGTAATTGTTCTTAAATGCAGTAATTAATTGTAACTAAGCCTATTATTCTTCATTTATAAACCAAAGGGGACCTCCTTTAGTGGTTTGTGGTCCTCACTTGACACCACTGAGCTGAGGGACTTGTGATCAAAGCATTGTTTAAAGGGATGAGACAATAATACACACAAAACACTGATTTTAACTCCTAAATTACCAGTAGGCCTATATCTATCTATACATGTTTATAGTGTATTGTTTTTTAAAGGTAAAGGTATTGTCCAGTCTCACTGCGTGAGACACAGTTATCCAAACAATCCCAAATTTGACTCAAACCAAATGTTTTTGTTAAAAAAAAAAAAAAAAAAAAAAAAATGTTTTGCAAAGGTGCAACAAATGGGATTTAACCTTAAATATCGCGATAGTTGCCTTCTTCTGACCGGGATAAATAACAATTTGCATCCTTACACTTGTCTCTCCATGCTACACACACAAGTTAATTTAGCAACGCAAGCCCAAATTTCCCCTAAAAACAGGTATTTTCCCTTTTATTATGATTCATACCAGCGACTTCACGAGAAACATGCTAATTAAATACAAAAGGAAACTTTAATTAAGGCAGGTTGATGGGACAACGGTTGAGTTTTAGACGTAAGAGTGACGTCACCGATGAGGCCAAAGCTCAGACATGTTATTGGTTTGCGGCTGTATTTTTAAATTACTCGCACTTACCGTTAACAAAATTAAACTCGAGACAAAAAACAAAACAATCCGTCATCTTTACCACTTCTTGTCTCTAAATAATGCCGCCAAACTTAGGGAGTCTTTGTAAAAAAAAAAGAAAAAAAAAAGAGTGTACTGTCTCTTTAAGGTCTCTCAGCTCGTCTGTTTCGTATTGATCAATCCACCATTTTCCAACACACAGCGGCGGCAGTGCTAACACAGCTCCGGCAGCGCGAGAGAGAGAAGAGAGAGCCACCCCTCTTACCTGGAGAGGAAGCCAGGGACCGGGGCAGTCATGGCAGCGAACATGTACCGGGTTGGAGGTAAGACTTCGCGGGGGCGAACATTTACGAAACCGTCCCGCAATGTTTTTTTTTTTTTTGTTATACGGCAGGAATCGCTGTGGTTTCGCCATGGGTCTTTTTTTTCTGTATTTACAGAGCGTGGTCCGTCTTTTCCTTCCCTTCTATTATTTCCCCAAAGCGCCTAAAGAGCCTTGTGCTTCACAGATGATGATGATGGTGACTGTGTGAAGAGGAGGATGGTGATGAAGAGTAGTGGGTTCGCTTGCTTGAATTCGCTGCTTGAGTCCCTCGTTTCTTTTGTGTTTGTTGTAACTTACCATGACCCCCCCCCCAGAACAACTAACTTCAATTCACCCGATGCACCTTAAGTAACACAAATGTTGTTGCCATAGATTTAAGGTAGCATGGCGAACTTACACTAGAAGTTGTGCGTGCAATTCAACTATTGCACTGCTGCTCTATTGAAATGTTATGAGTTATTCCTTCACCTGTGTGAAACCCCTAAGACTTGCAGGGATGCAGCAAAAGGGGGATGCTTTTACAGAGAAAGGAACTTGTATTTAAGAACTTTCCTCTTAGTTGCTGGAGCTGAGATCAGAAAAAAAAAGAATAAAATCCTATCACATGGCTGAAAATGTTTGCAGTTTTATCCATGCTAATATTATTTTTTAATTTGTACAGGCATCTTCAGTGATACCTAATTAAGATTCCTGTCCCCCCCCCATTCTCATACTCATTGTTTTGCCTTTCTTGCTCTGATTCTAGTCCTGTATATTCAGTGTCAATATAGATGCATGCAAGTTCTTCAAGCTGCTATTTTTATTTAAAAAAGAAAACCTGTTTCCCAACATCTCTTCATATGAAAGGACTTGATATTATAAGGAAAGTCAGTAATGGGATGCGCAACATAAAATAAACAAACCCATTTACATAGAAAAATAAATACATTTTTCACCGTTCAGGTAAAAAAACATATTTTTTTAGGTGTCAAAGTGTCAGAGCTACAACCTAAAGATGAGCCATAACAGGTGACTTGTATTTGGGAGATGTGACTACTCAGAGGACAGTTCCCTGGTCAGTTTGTACTTCTGTCATGCAGATATTTTCATTAAAATGTCTGATATTTGTCTAAAGATCTCCCAGTTATGTTTGGCGTTGCCAAATTGAGTATGGTTTATAAATGTATGGAGAGTTTGTGTGAGCAGAACTTAGAATGGGTGAAAGTGCCAGTGCCTGATAACATTTTGTAAATAAATCAACAAGCCATCACTGATATTCATCCAGTGAAAGCGAAATGCTTTGACTCTCCCTGGAATTAAAAATAGCCTGTTGTGAACGTCATGGCCCTCTTATTGAGTCAAATGAAACGAGGCCTACCTGAGTGTGAACAGGATTATGTCCAGAGCAGGGCAGAAAGTTAACACTTCATCACCCAACTGTTGAGAAATGTATCAAGTCTCTTGACTTTCTGAGATGCAAGCCAGTTAAATTTGTATTTTCTGTCTGTAACAAATATTCCTGCAAAAAAAAATGTAAAATACACAATTTGTCCGCCTGTCTCCCTGAGTAGCTTTGAATGTGCATCTTTGCCCCAATACTGTTACAATTTAGAGCAAAACTTAAATGACAAATCTTTGTTTATAAGATAGTTTTTGGGCTTTGTGCCTTTATTTGTATAGGACAGTGGATAGAGTTAGAAATCAAGAGAGAGAGTTGGGAAGAATGTAGCTCAAGGTAGGACTTGAACCTAGGCTGTCGCTGTACATGGGGCACAAGCTATCAGCTTGGCCATGCCCCATATGACATAAGTCTTAATTAATAAACCATTCTCATTAAACCTGAAAAAAAAAAAGATCTCTAAGCTGTTGTGTGTCCTATTAGGACCAGTGAACTCCCAACTGATCCTGGACATAGCACAATAAGTGCTGCTACTTCTCTGATAGAAAGCTACACTTTGCTTGACTTAAGATCTGTCCAAAGCTTTTGATGCTTTTAATCACGCAATTGCCCAAAAATGTTTTCTGTGTAGGCTCTGATTTTTTGCCTGAGTTTAATGTTTTTAAGAAAGTGTTCACACATCCAGCTATCGCATAAAGGAGGTGCGTAGGACGTCATACAGTCACATTGAAAAGACAAAATCCTGCACACTACTCTTCCTTAGCAACACCCATGTATCAGAAAAAATCACAACGTTTTTATAACCTTTATCAAGTGCGTTGTCTGAGTTTAAACCATGATTGCCAATGGCTTCTAATTCATTTCCCCAAATGCTTAATAAAGGTGTCCAGCAAGTAACAATATTAAGCCCACTGCTTTTAACTTGGTAAATAGATAACGTGCACTGTGATGTGAAAATGAGTTGCGTATCACCCTTCCCATTGATACAGCATTTAATGTACTCAGCAGATTGTTCTACAAAATGTTGAGCATCCTGATGGAACATTTTGACATTCATATTGAATGCTTATTCCAAAACAGAGCTTAGTTTTGCTTTTTGAAAAACATTTCAAAATCCAGCACCCTGTCTTTCCTGCACGCTGCGGCCACTACCATGAAACCACAGAGTGATGTTATTCATTAAGTTGGCTATCCCACTACCAACTGTGAGTTCTATGAGGAGGTTAGATGTCATGATTGGCATCTAGAAGACATCAGCAAGTCCACAGCAGCACAACTTAAAGATAGAGGCTGTCACTCCTCTATCTTTAAAGCATCACTAGCTAGTATTTCTTATATCTTTGAGTGTTAAAATTAGTGGCTAATATTACTTATACTTACATGTAATGTGACCCCGTGTTAAAGTTCTCAAGCCTCTTTTTCAACAGATTTTGTTCTCTTTAATATTTCTTGTTGAACTTATTCGTACCTTGAAACTGTTATTTTTCCTCAAACCAACAGTACAAGTCATTGTTCAATCTTCATAGGCTAAATTTCAACATTACTAATCTAAGCCTAATTGTGTAATAATCTAAACTAATCTGAAGTTTCCAATCATGAATATGAAACTTCTGACTAAGGATACACACAGGATTGCTTTTCCAGTCAAAATGTTTAAGATAAAAAAAAAAAAAAAAAAGCACAATTAAAGCAAAAGTGATGCATCATATTTGGCTAAAGCTTCTCTTAACTATTCAACTCATCATCAGAACATAGCAGGACCCTTCAAAAGATGGCCGCTTCTTTGCAAGACAATGCTGGATCGTCTTGGGAAAGCAATGACTTCCCTTGTGAATGAACCGTGGACAAAAGCTGCCTCCTCCGACTCTGATGTCTTTGTTTTTACCATGCAGGCCACACGCCACTCTTCCTGTTCCAGCAATGCTCCTTCCTAGTGCTTTCCCCACACACACAGGAAAAGTGTTGGTGACTAAGTATAGGCTGTGTCATACGTCTTTTATCATCTGAACAGTGGAAAGGGAGGAGGAGTTTTTGTGCACAGACCTTGAGATGTTTGAACGTCTTAACATCGGAACAAGGGTTATCAGGACGTCCTGCAGACCTACTGCTCTGTTCAAGAAAAGACGTCACAGTTTTTAAAGTATGTCAAAAGACAAAAGCAAGGTACTCAAATGAATATTGAAGCCAGTTTAATTTGCTGTATCATTTCTCCCGTTCATTCTGGCCATTAAAAGACATCTCTGTAAACAAGGGGCTGTATGCACAAGCTGTCAATTAACATTTAAAAAAATGATGGTGATAGATTGTAGAGCTGTCGGACTACCAGAAATTATTTTGAACTTTATTATGATTCTAGTAAATATACAACAATATCGATATGTGTTTAGGTTGCGAGACGACCAGTACTGCATCATTTCTTGTTTTTAATTACCAAAGAAATGTAAGGCAAATTACTTAACACTGCACAGATATGTTGCCAATGTATTTGTGCAGTTTAGACAGGGCTTTTTTTTTTGTTTGCTCGTGGCAGCTTTTGGTCTGCAGTCTTTTAAAGCTGAGGTACTTATCGATTTTTAAAATAATTGGAGACCTCAGAGTTGAACATTTTGGAAACCTAAACAGAAATTTGGTCATACTTTCGGTAGTATTTCAAGCAATAGTTGTCATCAATAGTTGGGATGTCAAAGAAATATTTAAGTAATGTCTTTGGGAAAAATCTGCTGTTACAGCTGCATATAAAGTAAGAATAAATAATAAGAAAAAAGAGATAAGTGGAAAAAAGCTGAGTATTGGTAGAATAAGCTTTATATAAGACTCAGAGTTTTGAGATAAATACAATGATATACAAAAATTGCACATAAAGAAATAAGTATTATGTACAAAAGGAGTAGTATTGAACAGTGGAGATATCGTACATGCAGAGTATTGTACAGACGACCCAAAGAAAACAATGTATCGTGTTAAGTATTAGTATTGCACACTTGTTTAATTGAACTTATTGTTGACAGTTTTAGATTTTGTATTGCGCAGTTGAAAATTAGTCATCCATAATGGGCAAGTTTTTAGTATTTAGGGGTGAAATAAGTCCAGAGCCAGACTGAGTGTTTGACCCTCAGAGCAGGGAGTTGTATAGTTTGATGGCAAAAGGCAGGAATGACTTCCTGTGGCATTCTGTGGTGCATCTTGATATGTGGTTTTTTCCAAGTGTGTTAAGTTAAACGAAAAAAGATTATTTAAAAAAACTAGACATTTCTTCGCTCAACACGTCCTGTTTCCTCGAGGTGTTTCTGTGCAAAACTACAGTGGAGAGAGGCAGAGACACAAAGAGGCAGAGTTTTGTATTTAAACAAGTATTTGAAAGGTATACACTTGACATGAGCTGTTTCCGTGTTCCTATGGGCATCTTACTCGTAAAAAGCCAAACTTGTAAGCTGGTGATGCTCTCCTTTAAATAAAACTTAACACTCTGCCTGTTGGAGTGTGACAACTTTTGTACAGAGTGTGACAACTCTTGTACAGAGTGTACTAAATGTGTTGCAGTGTTTGCAAACTTAAAAGGTGACAAACTTTGTAGTCGATGCCCACGTTTCTTTTGGCTGGTTCCTGGTGAGGATTTTCTC